GCACCGCAGCCTCCGACGGCCGGGCCGCTTCTCCCTCGCCCCTGGCCACGCCTCCTCGCACACCCGGCAGCGCGCCGCTGATGGGGCCTGAAAGCGAGCTGCCGGGTGTACGAGGAGGCGTGGCCAGGGCCGAGGGAGAAGCCCGACTCCTCCCCCCTTCCCTTCGTTAGCCGACAGAGCCACTCGGGGAAGGGGGGAGGAGTCCGGTGACGACGATGTCCGTGACGTCACCGGATCTCCGACGGAAGACCCGGAAGCCGGCGGAGAGGTGAGTAACTTTGATCGATCAAAATAATTTTGATCGATCAAAGAAATTAACGATTTATTGACGGCACACCCGAAAATATCTCACGGCACACTAGTTTGCCGCGGCACAGTGGTTGAAAAACGCTGGTCTAGAGGCAAGGTATCGGCCCTAGGTCAGATGCATTATGGATTAGTGCGTGTAAGTGTGGAAAACCAGAGGGCATCAAATTGCTTAAGTTTATCATTGTTAGGGGCTATAGTCCTCTCAAAGTTGTAATGGAGTTGTACTAAATGTGTGAGGTGGGCAGTGGAGGGAGGGAGCTTCAAGCATTTTCCAATTTCTGGCAATAAGGAGATGTGCTACAAGTAGGACGTGAGTAACAACAATTCTGCAATTCTGCAGCCGGATCCCCAAGTTCAGAATTACCAAAGCAGGGGTGGGGTCAACTTTGGCTGAGCTTACGGCGCTAATAATGTTAAAGACCTCTATCCAATACCCGTGAAGTAGAGGACAGTCCCAAAAAGTCCAGCACAGGGCAGAGCATCCCCTATAGAATATAGCCAATCTATAAGGTGTGAGGTACCAACGTTGCGTGATTTTCAGGGTCAGTTCCCAACGATTGATGCACTTGGTTGCCAGGAAGGTCGTTTTAAGAGCTGCAATCCACTGGGTCGGGGAGTAGGGGTAACACAAGTCTGTCTCCCATTTTTGGAACGGGAGGGACTTAGTAAAAAATAGTTTCTCCTGCAACGTGCCATAAACAAGGGATATGCCCCTTTCCTTGGAGTGTGGTAGAACTTCCAAATGTTAGTGGGAAACCAAACTTCCGTTGGTTTACCTGGTCCTATAAGGTGGCGAATTTGCAAATAGCGGAACAGCTGTTTGGGCAAGGTTGTATTGCCCACATAGGTCGGTAAAGGATCTGAGTTTGCCTCCGGCATAGAAATTGGCTATCGAGACTATGGAGTTGGAGCGCCAAGTCTGGAGATCTAGGTCGGGAATTAGTATTTTCAGAATATTAATCAGCTGTGGGAGGCTTGTAGTAGGTTCATTGGCAAAGGACAGCGAGCATACCAGTCTCCAAGCCTCAATGAATGGGGGGGATGGCTTTCCCATCGACTATCCCCCCATTCATTGAGGCTTGGAGACTGGTATGCTCGCTGTCCTTTGCCAATGAACCTACTACAAGCCTCCCACAGCTGATTAATATTCTGAAAATACTAATTCCCGACCTAGATCTCCAGACTTGGCGCTCCAACTCCATAGTCTCGATAGCCAATTTCTATGCCGGAGGCAAACTCAGATCCTTTACCGACCTATGTGGGCAATACAACCTTGCCCAAACAGCTGTTCCGCTATTTGCAAATTCGCCACCTTATAGGACCAGGTAAACCAACGGAAGTTTGGTTTCCCACTAACATTTGGAAGTTCTACCACACTCCAAGGAAAGGGGCATATCCCTTGTTTATGGCACGTTGCAGGAGAAACTATTTTTTACTAAGTCCCTCCCGTTCCAAAAATGGGAGACAGACTTGTGTTACCCCTACTCCCCGACCCAGTGGATTGCAGCTCTTAAAACGACCTTCCTGGCAACCAAGTGCATCAATCGTTGGGAACTGACCCTGAAAATCACGCAACGTTGGTACCTCACACCTTATAGATTGGCTATATTCTATAGGGGATGCTCTGCCCTGTGCTGGACTTTTTGGGACTGTCCTCTACTTCACGGGTATTGGATAGAGGTCTTTAACATTATTAGCGCCGTAAGCTCAGCCAAAGTTGACCCCACCCCTGCTTTGGTAATTCTGAACTTGGGGATCCGGCTGCAGAATTGCAGAATTGTTGTTACTCACGTCCTACTTGTAGCACATCTCCTTATTGCCAGAAATTGGAAAATGCTTGAAGCTCCCTCCCTCCACTGCCCACCTCACACATTTAGTACAACTCCATTACAACTTTGAGAGGACTATAGCCCCTAACAATGATAAACTTAAGCAATTTGATGCCCTCTGGTTTTCCACACTTACACGCACTAATCCATAATGCATCTGACCTAGGGCCGATACCTTGCCTCTAGACCAGCGTTTTTCAACCACTGTGCCGCGGCAAACTAGTGTGCCGTGAGATATTTTCGGGTGTGCCGTCAATAAATCGTTAATTTCTTTGATCGATCAAAATTATTTTGATCGATCAAAGTTACTCACCTCTCCGCCGGCTTCCGACTTAGCGCTGGGGAAAACCATACCCTGCGTTCTGCTTCGGATGTAAGAGGGTATGCCTGTGTTCACTGCCCTAGAGTTCGACTTGGGCGATGATATAGGCAGAGATTGCATTTAACAAGTTTGCTTGTTGTTTTTTTTTGTGTTTTTTTCTTTTAACTTGGTTTTATTCCTGTATGTTTTGCCTACATATGCTGCTGTTACACATCTCGGCTGAGTGGAGATGTTGGATTGGCTCCACATTGTGTATGCATGTAAAATTGATCACAGGCAACTGTTTGTCTGACTGCTTTCTCTTACTGTATTGTATGAAAACTCAATAAAACTTTTAAAAATAAAAAAATATGTACTGTATAAGCTCCCCCCTCACTGCGCCCTCTCCCCCCACATCTCCCGCAGCGCAACTGAAATTAAACAGCGGGCAGTGGTTGAGTGCAATAGCCAGCCTGCATTACACATTCTCTGTCGGATCCGCTGCTTTGCTGATTAACAGCAGGTAGTGGGCCGGTACAATGGCCAGCCTGCTAGCCAATAGCAGGGGGCAGGTGCAATTGCAGACTGGCTATTGCACCCGCCCACTACCTGCTGTTAATCAGCAAAGGAGCAGACCCGACAGAGAACGTTCAATAGCAGGCTGGCTATTGCACTCAACCACTGCCTGCTGTTTAAGTTCAGTAGCCGACTGTGGAATCTAGCCTCTGCCAGATGAACACATAGCCCGGTCACCAGTCACATGGAAAACAAAAGTAGCCACTCTCCGGAAGGAAGGACAGTGTCCGCACCCATTCAGAGATGATCTGAGGATCTACAACCGAGAGTCATGCCTGTTTCTGTCAGAGTCTTGCAATGCTTAATGGCATTTGCACCACTGCTGGAGACCCAGAGTTTGCCTACCCTTGCTCTAAAATTTTGATTTCTCATCACTGTCGGTCTCTCTGACAATGGACTGGGTAAATCTATGTAGCTCGGACAAATACAACAAAAAAACTTGACATGGGTTTTAACCCTTCCCTACTCTATCCAAAAAAAAGAAAATATGTAAACCCAAGATTTAAATGCGGGCCTTGTTGCTCTCCTGTTACCCTGCTTCCCTAGGCATTGACCTACACATGTCTTGTGGTAAGCAGGCTTGTGTAGAAGAAATATCTATTTGTGATGCTCCAACAATAAAAATTTTAATGGAGATTTTTAAATTGTGCAGCTTTCAAGTCAGCTGTCCTTATCCAGCGGTGGTACCGGCGCTATGTGGCCCAGTTAGAAGTGAGAAGGAGATGTACTTGGAGTATCTTCCAGTCCATAGAATATACTGGAGAGCAAGACCAAATCAAGGTAATGTAGCAATAATGGAACTATTCAGTGCCTTACTCAGACATCCTAACTCTCCCGGACGTTCCAGGAGTCTCCCGCTGTAATATAGCGGCTCCCTGACGCCCGCGAGAGAAACATTTTATCCCGGAAAGGTTTACTCTGCTCTATATCACTTCCCGTGGCCACTGTCAAAATACAGGTCCTCTTCTGCTGATTGACAGCAGCAGTGGGTGGGTGAAATAGCCAGCCTGCTATTGGCTATTGCAATTTGAAATGGCATGTCTGCATACTATAAATCATAACTATTAGTTAAAGGTTATAAAAATATACTTCAGTATGGGTAGCAAAATGTCTGTATAAATATGTTTTTCTTAAAGCTTCTTCAGTAGCTCTTACACTATTTGTTCCAAAGTCTTGTTGTTCACCATTCAATGTCAGTGGCTAGTTTACAACACTTAAAGGTCCAACCAGCAAATTAACTTTATTTTCCTAAATCTAAACTCTAGGAAGATATATATAAACAAACATGAGCTCACTTTCCAGTTTTGCTATGTTGTCCTAGATTGTTCACTTCTCCTGCCTTCTCCAAACTCTTCACTCTTTTGTGAATAACCCCCTATATTAAGTATTGGCAAGGGTGAGACCTTAAAGTTATTTCAAGGGTTCCTCCATGTTAAAAGGTTGAGAAAGGCTGAATAAGACACTCCTAGAAGAGGAAAGGGCTATGATGTGCAGGAAGGGAGAGGGCTGTGCTAGGAACTGTAATCAGATTTGCAAAGGCAAGTTTAAAGGCACATTGCAAGTCAGTAAAAGATTGTTTAAGGAAAAGAAAAAATGAAGCAAGTAAGCATTTAAAATACCGTACTTCTTTTGTTTTATTTGCTTTAACCTGCAGGCCTTTATTTGGTGATAGGTTTTCTTTAAATGCTAAAGATTAATATTTGTTTCCTTATTTAATCTCTAAAAGATCAGCCGCAGAAGCCAGGGTAAATGTAATCCAAAATTTATATAAATAAATCCAAGCAGATTCCGAAAAAACAAGTAAAAAAAATGATAAATATCATGTACATCACCGTGAACATCTCCCACGCCAACACCTCTCACGCGTTTCACCATCTGGGCTTAATCATAGCGGTGATTTAGCTTTGATTGTTTTGCCTCTTTGTGACTTCTCTGCTTCAGTCAGGGGGGTAAATGTTATTTAGCCTTACCGTTCTATCAACTTCCTGATTCACCCACTGCCACCCAGCTTCTGACTATGCATGTAGGCAGCTGACACAAGATTGCCAGACTTCAAGTGACTATTGATCCCCTGATCAGTCCATTAAAGCTGAAGAGTCAAACACTGGTGAAGTAAAAAAAAGGAGTCAAATTTAGATCTTTATAATCAAGCCTGCAAAATTATAGTAGTTTAAGACCGAAAATTCAAAATCTTGCATAAGCCTGGTTGTGACTGGTTCTCTTTGAGAGTATCAGCTAAGGCCTACTGCACTTTCAAAACCAATGCGATAACAAAATATCCTAAATTAAAAGGGAACTATGGCCACATTTTTTTTTGGCTATAGTTCTCTTTTGGGTCACAGGAGGACATTTACTAATGTACTGTGACCCAAAGTCAGCAACTAGTGGGCTACTGCCTGCTATATGCAGACAGAGCAAAACCGCGATGCAGCTGGTGAGGATCTCAACAATATTGTAGGGATCCCTCCAGAAAGCTGACTGACAGCTGGCTTGCCCCCCAGTGGCGTAACCAGAGTTATGAGCGCCCGGGGCAGAACATTTTTTTCGCCCCCCCATATTATATAAACATCCACTAGAACTGTACCCCCCACCCCCACACATATTTATCAGCACCTTCCCCGTCTGTCCCTCCAATGAGCGCTGGAGGAACAGAGAGGGGAGGGGGGAATCTATGTGGGGAGCTGTGACTTGCAGTCACTGCTCTCTGCAGGGAGAAGTAGTGAACTGAGCAATCAGCGGTTTGTGATCGCTCAGTTCTGGATCTATAGAGCCGGCATGTGACAGCTGCAGTGTGAAACTCTGGCCCTAACTATTGGGAAGAGTACATTTTACTCTCCCAATAGTTCTCTTTAAACACAGACATGCCTATATGCATATTTATTTACTAATTTATATCTAGATTTTATGTAGGGCCACCATTAGCATAAGTTATCCCTTGGCCCAGATATTGGTTATAGTGGACTTTATATAAAATATGCTTCCCATATAAGCTGTGTTGTCTAGGAAGCAAACATGTTAAGGTGAATGTGTCTGTTCATCTTATCATTATCATCGTTTACTTAGCGATAAGCCTTATTAATGCCTTGGTGACCCAGATTTCCAGGTATGATTCATTCAAGAGACTTTAATCTTGTCAACACACTTCCATGCTCAGCTGATAGATTGGTTTGCTTATATATATATTTTTATTTTTATTATTATTTGCCATAATATGAAGTCAGGCTGAGCATGTGTGTATATTTCTAGTTCATGTTATTTATTTCCTTTGCGCTTGCTTTCTCTAAAGATTGTTTTTAATTTTATTCAGCTTTATGATTTCTTCAACTTTCTCATGGACCATTTCACTCCAGACAAAAAGGAGAGTAAGTATTTTTTCAAGTTAATTGAAGGGTATGTGTCTCTGACTAGTGATGGGCCGACAGTTCGGTTCGAATTCGAACTTTAGAACAACCAAAAAGTTTGAATTCGAACTCAAGCTCAATGCAAGTCTTTGGGGGTTGAACTTTCAAAAACAATTGTTCCCTTTAAGAGGGCTTATATGCAAATTATTGGACATAAAAGGTGCATGGGGATCCGGGTACTGCCCTGGGGGACCGGAATCAATGAAAAAAAAAAAACTTTTCAAAAATACAGTTCATTTGGGTATACAGAAGTAAGCTATGTATACAGGGCCTTCCCTATAATGAGGAAGCCTGAGGCGGTTCGTTGGGGGCAGCTGGGTGGTGGTGGGGACTGCAGGGGGGCAGCCTGTGATGCTCTGTGCAGCTTCCCACCCAGCTCACCAATTGCCTAGCTCCTGGCAACCGGCGACATCAATAAGCTGGTTGGGAAAACAGCCAGAGCCACTTACGGTGTGGTCCCCGACATCTATGCCCCCAACCACCCCACTCAAACTAAAACACAGCACAATGGGCCATTCCCTGCCAGCACCCCCCTTGTGTCTGAATACAATACCCAGCAGGGCAGATTACCCCACCTAGTAGTGTGGATGTGGGAATCAAGTGATATATCACATTCAGTCCGCATGGCTGAATGAGAGAACTCAAAATGTGTATGGCTGGTTTTAGACACTACAGCTACATGAATATGAAGACAACAAAAGTTTGGAAATGCTTGACCAAGCAGAGAGATAATAAGCTTCCAATGCCACAGTTTTAAATTGTACATGGTTCTTGTATATATTGAGCTTCATTGTATCTCTGATTGTTGGATCAATTACCACTGAAGAATAAGAAACACTGCAAGCCTTAGACATGTGGACTGAATAACTCAATCTAGTAGCAACAGTAGGAAAACAGTAACAGTAGGACTAGATGGCTAGGACATTTTGTGTGGAAATCTGTTAGCCGGCCATACACGGTTGGAATTTTGGTCGATTCCTACTGAATCAACTGAGCCAGGCGGAGGATTATTGTCTGAACAGAGACTGCATTCTATCAGATAGGATAACTGGCCGTGAAGACTCCTCCATCCAAGCTGTTGTTGCTAGAGTAGATGGGGAATTTGTTAGATCTCTTATTCAGCATACGGGCTGAACGAGAGTAATTGAATTGAGTATGGCAAGCTTCACTCCCCCGAATTACATACACCCATTTTAAAGTGCCCTTTTACTTTGTACTTTCATTAAGGAAATTTCATCTGCCGTATGTTCACTGAGGAGGAAAGCTTGAAAGACACGGAGTTGGAGAAATACTGTGATTATGAATCTATTAAGGTGCCAGGGACTTACATGGGTCCTAAACTGACCTTTCCTTTAAAGTCAAGCCATGCAGCGGCCTTAGTGGAAGCTTTCAAACAGAAGCAAGTAAGTACAACTTAAAGGAGAACTACGGGGTACACCTTTTTTTGCATTTTTAGTTTCCTTATGATACGGTAATACATTTTGCAATGTACTCCTGTAATCAAAAATGCACCAGCAATATTACACTTCAGTGTAATATTCTGTGCGCAGGGCTAAGCTCTGTGCCGAGAAGCTATCCCGACAATATTGTCTGGATCCTCCTCTCCCATTGAGTGGCAGCAGTTTGTAGGAGCTGATGTGCTTTCATGAGAACCTGTGCAGACGCTCAGGGCACATCCTATCATAGACCTGTCCGTTCACAGGTATAATAACACTAGCACACCCATCTTGCAGTTTTTCTTTCCCCCCCCCTCCCCTCTACTCTCGACACTACTGTCTCCAGACAATACACATCAGCACTAAGACCATCCGTTCAGCTTCTTCCTCACCCTCCTCTCCTCCACTCTGCTGTCTTTGGACATACACAGGGAGAAGAGGAGATAAAGACAGCAGAGTGGAAGGAAGAGGGGGGAGCAAGGACGAAGCTGAACTGATGGTCTTAGTGTTGATGTGTTATTTGTATTGTCTGGAGACAGCAGTGTGGAGGAGAAAGTGGAAAGGGGAAACGATAGACAAACTGCAGGATGGATGTGCAAGTGTTATCTCTGATAGGATGTGCCCTGGGCATCTGCACAGGTTCTAATGAACATGCAGCAGCTCTTACAGCTCCTACAAGCTGCCGTCACTCATTGGCAGAGGAGGATCCAGACAATATTGTCGAGATAGCTTCTCAGCACAGTGCTTAGCTCCACCCACAGTACATTACACAGAATTATAAGCTTATGGTTACAGGGAATACATTGCAAAATGTACTCCTGTATCATAAGGGAACTAAAAATGCAAAAACAAAAGGTATACCTCATCGGTTTCCTTTAATTACTTATTTTAGTGCATCTCAGATTGCACCAGTTCAATGTTTTTTTTGGAAAAAATAAAAGTTTACATGAAGAGATCTCACTCTTAAGTGCCTAGAGATATAAGAAGATTGTGGTGTTAACTTACTGTTAATTTACTAAAGTGAATGTTCTCTTTGGAAAGTGTTAATTTACTTCACCAATTTTTATTGAAAAATGTGTTTTCACTATGAATACGCAAGTATATTCTAGCAAGAATCCTGTTTTATTTAGTGTAGTGTCACTGACTGTCACTACACGATTCTCACCCGTATTGTGGTATAACATATACTGCTGTACTATGAATATAGGATTTTATCCCATTCGTAAATAACAAACTCCAGACTCATTGAAATCATGAGTGTTTGAAAGTGAAGTGTTCTTGGTTGTTGTGTTATTATCTGATTCTCTAACTTTTCCTCCTAGTAGCAGCTCCACGCTCGTTATGTGCTACAGCTTTTAATTGAGACAAGGAAGCATCTCAAACAACTGCCAAATATAAAACACATCACAACAAGTTACAGCAAAGAAATAACCATTTGTGGTAAGAAAATGTTCTTAAAGCTGTAATAAACTCTATCACTTTTTTGAATAGCCTTAGCCTTCTTTCTTTTTAAAACCTTAACAATGCATTTGTCAAATGAGGAAAAGCATAATATTGCAACGTGTATAGATTTAATCATGCTTATTTCAATCTTCAATATCAATAAAACAAAAAACAAAAATTCCTTCAGCTTATACATGCTAATTTATACAATTTCTTCTTATAAGGGGACCTGCATGGCCGACTGGATGATTTGTTTTTGATATTTTACAAGGTGGGTAGTAAGAATAATCATTTTTATGCTACTGTTCTAAAAATGTGCTTATTTTTTTTACTGAACTCACACAAAGTGGTCTATTTATAAAAAAAAATTGCAGGACCATTTGCCCTGCAAATATCTGTAAACATTCGCGCTGTACGATATATATGATAATGAATGTTCTTTAGAAGTGCAATGAATTTTAAATTTTAATATGTATGTAATATAACATTGTAACACAACATGAACATGGAGCATGAATACGGAGAGGGACAGAATGGGGTGTGGTTTAGGAGCAGTTCTGTACCCAGAAGTGCTGAAGTGCTGACAGGGCTGACATTAAAGTTCATTTGCTGCACTGTAATCCAAACCAGTGCTGGTTTGGATTACAGTGCAGCAAATGAACTTTAATGTCAGCCCAAATAGAGACATAGGGGTTGATTTACTAAAGGCAAATAGGCTGTACTTTGCAAGGGAATTTGCACTTAGCAGGGGAAGTTTGTTCTTAGTTTAGTGACTGAGTGGAAGCTCTGCTGACTTCTATCACCCAATCATGTTCAAGAAAAACTACCGTACTTTTTTATTTTTTTATTTTCCTTGCACATGATTGAGTATTCTTTGCAAAATGAAGTTACACCACATTCACTAAGGTAGGGGAAATTTCCTCTGCAGAGTGCAAATTCCCTTGCAGAGTGAACAGCCTATTTGCCTTTAGTAAATCAACCCTATAGGGTCACACTGGAGGATGTGGCTGAAGTTCCACATTATCATATTATTTCATGTGTTTTAAAAGCTGTATTTTATTGCATAGAACGCTTCACCTATGAGTCATATGTAAATATAGATTATGAGATGAAGCATATTGGGAAACTGGACCTAAAATGTTTTGTGTTGTTAAATATAAAAAATATACTTTGTAAACTGTTCTCTTGGTGTTCTTAGAATGGTCTCCCATCAGCAGAGAAGCCTTATATATTCAATGGGGACTTTGTAGACAGAGGGAAACAGTCCACAGAGATCTTAATGATCCTTTTTGCATTCATGCTGGTCTACCCAAAGGCTGTCCATTTAAACCGAGGAAATCATGAAGACTATATGGTCAATTTAAGGTGAGGTCTGCAAAACATGATCCCACAGATATATGTATTTTCAATAAAATGTTAATTTATCTTCTGTTTTTCAGGTATGGATTTACAAAAGAAGTGATGAAAAAATATAAGGTATATATATGAAATTCATTTCTTTAATCCGAACACTATTACAATCAAAATTTACCTTTATTGCCAAACGATTATAGTTATCTTAAAGTTAAGCCTTAGCTGAACAGCTAAAAACACAGAGAAATTACACATATGAGAGCTGTTTTGGCTGCCAAAGGGTTTGTCCACCTAGTCTTAAGATTTACTCAGCCCTACCACATTGTACAGCCCGGCCTAGCAGAGCATACATTCTGATTTTTCTTTGCTGCATATAAGTTATAAGTAGTTTGTACACTACTTGTATCTAAAAATGTGCACGAAATTCAACAAAAGCATACCTTGCAGTGCATAGCAAGGTCCACTTATAACAACCATGTGCCCTCCCCTTTGAAAATTACCCAGTGTTACTAGGTACAAAACAAACCTTTTAAGAAAAAAGTTTTTACACCTACCGCTGTCTTCCACAAGTAACACGTAGGTGACGGTGACATCATACTCCTTCCAGCAAGATCCTAGGGAATACACAGTAGACAGAATCCTGCGAGAAGAGGCTCTTGCAATGGACTGGTCTTCTCACAAGATTTTGCCTGCTCTGCATTCCCCAGGAAACCCCCCATGTCATCACACCCAGTGATGCAGGTTACGGGGGTAAGGTAAGTATAAATCTAACTTTTTTAATGTTATGTACCTAGTAACAGGGCCATGTCTATAATGAGGCAGCCTGAGGCTGTTGCCTCAGGCGGCATCTCTTTGGACCACATGGGAAGACTCCCTTTCTGGCCAGAGCATCCCAGATTGCCAAGAGCCGGGTGGGGAGATGTGTAATGGTGAGATGCAGCAGGAACCAGGAAAGCTGGGAACATGGCTGTAAGTAAATTTTTCACATTTTGGAAATAGGTGAGCTTACTTTATAAGCATGCAGTAGGCGGAATTCAATGATGCTAGTTATTTTTCAAGCTGCATTTTAAGATCAAGCCGGACAGCTGGCTAGCATGTGGCCAGTGTTGATGTGTAACTAAAGCTAACATTTACAGAATAATTTTATTATATATTAAAATGTGAGAGAGTTGCATGCCAGTTTGTTACTTAATGGTGGAGAAAATAAAAAAAGGGGTAAAAGTACCATATTGACTGGATAACTTTTTTTCTTAAGGTGCCCATACACTGCACGATTATCGTACGAGAATCATGGGAACTCCCGCGACCGTACGATAATTGCAAAGTGTATGGAAGGCGTGCAACCGTTTCTACTGTACGGTCTCACGTCTTCCGTCGAACAAGTAGGCTGGAAAACCCGCCGGGAATCGTATGATTCTCGGCGAGTTAGTAGCCTGCTTGTTCGACAACTGGCGAACGTGCTGATGTGCGCACACGCACACTGCCCATTTGCAGTCATCGGAAGCCTGCCCATCACTGCAGTCATCGAAAGCCCGCCCCTCAGGGGGCAGGCTTGCGATGATCGCAAGTACGATCTGCCTGTCCAAGATGGGCAGATCGTAAGTTTTTTTAATTACTTTACAACCCTTGCAAGACTTTTGTCTTGTAAAGTGTATGGCCACCTTTAGAGTGTGTTCAGTGTAAGTAGGAGATGCAAACATAGGCATACGCATAGGGGGAGCCGGGTGTGCCTGGACACACCCTAATCACCCCGAGCGCAACACTGAAACCACAGGCACTGTGTTTTCAGTCACTGAGCCGGTGGAGAGATCACGGCATTGTAACCGCCAATAAAGTGTGCAGCAGCACTTGCCACTTACATTCCTCAGTCCTTGGTGCCTGGGAAGCTGCAAGGGAGTGTGGCTGCGGCTTCCCATGCTATCAGGAAGCCGGATGGGTGGTCACATGACCATGTGTGTTTGTACTTTTGTGTGCACACCCTAATGCAACAGGCTGTGCACGCCTATGTATGCATATATATAGGTTCATGTTACACATTTGCAGTATAAGCACAGCATTTACTTAATTTTTACCTTGATTTTCATATTAAAGGTTCATGGGAAGAAAATCCTCAAAATGTTGCAAAGTGTATTTAGTTGGCTTTCTTTAGCAGCTGTGATTGATCAAAAAATATTGATTACTCACGGAGGAGTGTCAGATTCTACTGACTTACAGATTCTATCTAAAATAGAACGACACAAGGTAAGATATATATGTTCTATTTATCATTAACTGACATAAGGCTCATTGCACTGTGACCACAGCCACAAACTACTGGATCCTATAATAAGGGCCGTCCTTATAATGAGGCACCTCTTTGGGTCACTTGGGGGGGGGGGCAGGCAGAGTGGCTTGGCTGCTGTGTTGCAGTGTTTGCAGGTGTGCCTGCCGCCCCCTTTCCGGTCAGAGCATCCCAGGTTGCTAAGAGCCCGCTGGGGAAATGTGAAAGGGCCATATACATCTCCCCGCCTAGCTCTTAGCAACCTAATTTTTCTTCTTGGTTTGTTTATTTTTCCTTCTCCCCCTTCCCAGGCTTCCCCTCCCTTGACCTTTTGTA